GGGCGGAGTCTGAGACCTGGTGTAGGGGCGGGTCCGTGATTAAGGAGAGGTCAAAGGTGGGAATGGGATGGCGGGGACAAGTGAGATCACGACTGGACCAGGTACCAGATTGGGGCAGCGTTAAGAACGGAGCCGATTCAGAGCTGGGCCAAGGCAGGACCGATGTCAGGATTAGGCAAGGAGTAGGGCCGCGAGGATGGGTCTGTACTAACAGGGTAGCTGAGCTTTGGCAGGCTGGGGGTCACTAAGGGGCGTGTCCTCGATCTGTTATGCATCAGAAACCGGGTGACTTTGCGACTAGATTTTACTGGGCAGATAATGGTTAAACCTAAGAGAGTGGGCTAAGTTAGGGTGCCACACTGCTGAGAGGACAGCGCCAAGGTTAAGCCAAGGTATATGAGGGGTTGAGACTAGGATCAAGTGCAGATACTGTAAGAACCATTTTGGATTTAAACCAGATTGAGAGTGGGACCACAACTTGAAGATTCAAGATTTGGAAAATAAGGTCCAGATGTGAGGTTGTTGGAGAAGGGGTGGTGGGTAAACCTCTAGGAGTCTCCAGGGATTTTTGATAACCTCCTTGACACTGTCACCCACATCAGGACCTCTGAAGTCTAAGCGACATGTAGAGTAACCTGAGCGTAGTTGGCTTAGGACTCTCTTTGGTCTCCTTCAAACCTTTAAATCTTCCTGTCTTCACTGACAAACTCCTACTGAACTCTCAGGGCCCTGCTTAAACGTCCTCTGTGAAACCTCCCCTAAACTCCACTTGTCAAAAAAAAAAAAAGTATTGAAGCTGCATTTCCCTAAATGCCCTTTATTAATAAATATGGGAAATGTAATATATTTTCTATACCCACCTCATTGGAGAATTCTCAGTGTATTTGCATAATAAAGACTTGGAGAAGTCTTGTAGCAAATAAACCCATTTTACTGCATTTAATAAAATGGTTCCCAGCCGGGCTCGGTGGCTCAGCCTGTAATCCCACACCTTTGGGAGGCTGAGGTGAGTGAATTGCCTGAGCCCACGGGTTCAAGACCCACCTGGGCAGCGAGACCTCATCTCTACAATAAATCAAAAAATCAGCCGGATGTGGTGGCGCATGCCTGTAATTCCAGCTACTTGGAAGGCTGAGGCAGAAGGATCGCCGGAGCCCAGCAGGCCAAGGCTGCGGTGGCCGGGAGCGGCCACTGCACTCCAGTCTGGGCGACAGAGTGAGACTCCAACTCAAAAAAAAAAAAAAAATGTTCCCAAACTCATGTGAGCTTGGGATCCTTTTCTCAAGCTAAACCATTTAAATGCAGCGTCCCCTATTCCTGGCCTTGGGATACCAGCCTAGAACGTAGTTTTCCAAGGCCAGCAACAGTTTCTTATTTCACATATCTATGGCCCCAAAACCTGGCACAAAGCCTGGCCCATAGTACACACCTACACATCAGTAAATGTTGAATGAGTGAATGACTAACTCAATGCCTAAGCTAGCCCAGACTCTGGAGCATTTGGAAGCAGAAGGTTTTTGGCTCAAACATTTTATGAAAATGGAATGAGCTAACTTGGGAGGTAGTGAGCACTCTGGCCTAGAGATTCTTAAGCAGGAGCTAAATATTGTAATGTAGGTGCTCCTAACACCTCTATACACGAGTCTCTGTGAATAAGCCTGCACCCAGCAGATGTCCATGAGCCCCAGGAGAAATGGCCCATGTTTACCATTGGCACTTCCTTATCCATTTCATCCCAAAATCATGCCTGCCCTTCTTCCAGTCTAGCTGTCTGAGGATGGATGCTCCATCAGAGGGTGAGCAAGGACTTGGACCCCTGGGATCTTGCACAGGCCAGCATTGGCCCTTCCCTCCACCCCTGAGCCTCTTGTGCTAGGCTTTACTAGTGTCCCCATCTCCATGTCTATGAAGTCATATCAACAGGAAAGAGGAGAGAACATTTGACAAGACGGGGTGCATGTTGTGACAGTTTGAAGCGACTCTGTCTGAAGCCATTTGTCCAACCTCTTACATTATATAGGTGTGGAAACTGAGGTCTGGAGAATTGATATGACTTACCCAAGGCCACAATGCCAGGGCTAAAGGACACAGCCTGACCCAAATCGCTCCCTTCTACTCACCCCCTTCCCTCCCTGTCTGACTTTCAAGCCTCCATTTCAGAGCCTTGGTTCTCCTGTCCACAAACTAGGAAATCCGAATTACTGTTTTTTTGGCTTTTACACTCCATTCTGTGAACTGGGGAACATATATTTTCTCTAAACATTATTGAAACACTTTCATTCTTGGGTGAAAAGACTGCCACTTGCTTACTCTCTAACGCACTGTCGTGGGGTCAGACACATTTGGGTTCCAAGCCTGCCATAGGCACTGTCTGTGTACCTTGGCAAGTCACTTCATGTCAACTTTGATGCTCAGTCTGTAAAATAGGATCAGGATGCTTCCTTTCCACCAGGACTTTGATGAGACTGACCTGGAATGAACTTGCCATTTGAGGTGCTTGGTACATGGTACAGGCTGGGACAACACACATTCCCATTCTTTCTCCTTCTTCCTGTGAGAGCTCATGTGCCCAGCCAGGTAAATGCCCAGGCCCACCTCTCTGGCATGAGAAGGAAACCTTGCTTTGGTATATCCTTTGAACTTGGCAAGGTGGTGGCAGAGAAACCTGCCTCCCCCCGGAGAAGATATGTTCCTGGCTGAGGTTCAAGGCACCCTCCACCCCCAACTACCTCTCCCAGCTCATGGGAAAGCAGGGCTCATTTGCTATTTATGCATAGAGAATAAGGCTGGGACCATTCCTCACACCCCTTCTCTCCCAGCAGCTGGTGACTGCTGGAGGATGAGCTGGGCCCCTCTTCTGGAGATTAGGAGACTCAGAGCTGGCAGGACCTTGGAAATCATTTGGTGCAACGTTCACGTGACAGGCGGGGAAACAGTAGAGGGGGAGGCAAAGAAGGGACTTGCCCAAGGCCTTGAAGCCAGAGAAGGCCAGGACTGCACTCAGCTGAAGTCTCCTGACACCCTATCTAGCAATTGGCCTGCAGATTTTACATTTATTATAAACCCTAAAGTCAAGAGAGTGGAAAGATTAAGAGCTCTGGCTTTGTATTCCATCAGCTCCAATCCTGGCTCTACTATTTACTTGCTGTGTAACCTTAGAACATTTACTTACCATCTCTGAGCCTTGGGTCCTTCATTGACAGCATGGGAGTAATCAGGTTAGTATTAAACAAGAAGATGTTTATTAGATATTAATACTGCAGGGAAACCCCCTTTGGGCCTCTCCCCCTCTGGGAGCTTTTCTGTCCTTTCAATAAATCCTGCAAAAAAAAGAGAAAAAGAAAAGAAATTAAGACTGCACTTGGCACATAAGAGCATTCAATAAATGACAGCTATAATATGTTATCTTACACTCAGCACTACTAACATTTGGGACTGGATAATTGTTTGTGTGGGGCTATCCTGTGTATCACAGGAAATTTAGCAGCATCCCTGGCCTCCACCCACTAGATGCCAGTAGCCAATTATTCTTCCCCTACATTGTGACGACTCAAAATGTCTCCAAACGTTGACAAATGTCTCCTGGGGTCAAAATCACCCCTGGCTGAGAACCCTGGCCTAGAGGAAGTCCTACTTAACTTTCAAGATTCAGCTCAAATATCCCCTCTTCTGTGACGCTTTCCCTGACCTGCCAAGCAGAATTGCATTATAGCCCAGATTTCATTACAGGGTCATACCCTGGCATGCTGCATATCCTTAGTCGTATCACTTCGTTTCTCTAAGCTTCCAAGTGCTCATCTATACCATAGGGAAATTGTGATATTCCCAGGAAGGATGTTGTAAGGACTAGGGATACTCTCAGACATGTCTAGTACTGTGCCTGGCACAGTAGGCAAAAACAATTTTAAAATATCTTTATTCCAATTATAAAATTAACACAAGAAGCAGAGTTATGTAATGTGAAAGGTAAAATCCCCCCATAATCCCACCCCATGGAATTACTATATGGTTCTACAGATTTTTGTGTAATGTGTATATGCATGTGTGTGTATGGTGGTGTCTTTCTCCTCCCCCACTCCACTGCTGAGCACCTGGACCACTGAGCAAAGAGGAAAAAGGGGGCCCATTTCCCATTTCTAAAGGGTTTGGGGCTTCCCAGCCAGTACTTCTTGAACCCAAGCTCAGTGTCTGCAACTGCACCAACGGTTTTTCTTATATTACCTCGTTTAATCTTCATAGCACCCTGCCAGTGAGTACTGTTATTTTTTCCTTTTACAGATGAGGAAACAGGTTCAGAGAAATTAAATGACTTGTTTGGTCACCCAGCTGGTAAATGGCAGGGCAACAATTTGAAGCCAGTCTGACTAGGCTACATACAGCCCCTGAGCTGCCTCTGAGGGCTGGCTAATTGTCTCCCAGCCGTCCTGCCTATCTTGTCTTGAGAGCACTGGGCACGGGGCTAGGCTATCTGTGCCAGCTGACGCCCCAAGGGCAGGTGGCTGGGATGTCATCTTGGTCAGGCGTGGCATCCGGCTCTCTGACCATCTCAGGTTCCTAACCCCCAGAGAGGAGATCCGATTCAGTCTCAGCCACCCCCTCTAGGCCTCATGTGATCATTGGAACCTTTCCCAAGGCCTCCTTCATGCTGACGCAGACAGCAGTTGATCAGCCTGGGATGGTAGCCCTGGCAAGCAGGGTATGGTGATCCAGAGACACCAAGGCAGCCACCCAAGGAGAAAGCAGGGGCTGGGTTCAGATCTTGGTTTTAGCTGGGTGCAGTGCTAATGCCTGTAATCTCAGCACTTTGGGAGACTGAGGCAAGAGGATTGATTGAGCTCACAGGTTCGAGACCAGCCTGGGCTGCAGGGCGAGATCTCGTCTCTACAATAAATCAAAAGAATTAGCTGGATGTGGTGGTACACTCCTGTAGTTCCAGCTACTTGGAAGGCTGAAGCGGAAGGATCACCTGAGCCCAGCAAGTCAAGGCTGTGGTGGCCATGAGTGTGCCACTGCACTCCAGCCTGGGCAACAGAGTGAGACCCCAGCTAAACAAAACAAAACAAAACAAAGCAAACCTTGGCTCTGGCTTCTTTCAGAAGAGTGGGAGGCACTACCTTCTTGTACCCTTTTATCCAATAAAGGAAATGGAAGTAAGAGCAAGATAGCCTGCTTTATGTGTAAAGAGGGAGACAGAGTTGACGCCCATCCAAAGAAATTACAGATGCAAAGGCACGTTAGTATCATGGACAGGAGGCAGTTGGATTGTCTGTGTCCTGGGGAATTGACCTCTGCTGTTACTTTTCCCAGGAGAGGGCAGGATTTAATGTACAAACAGGAGCCTCCATGGAGGCAAGGCTGGCTGTGGGTCAAACCCAGGGCTGGCTGCTGGCATCTGCACTTCCCTCTTCACCAGTGTAGCACAGGCCACAGTTTAGAAACATAGGGCTGAAGCTGGAGGCCCAAGACATTTGTTTTATAGAAAGAAAAAGTCTAGCAGGAAGTAACAATAACAAAATAATAACTCTAAAAAATAATAGCCAAAGTTTTGGGGCACAGAGTAAGTTATTAGGCACTTACTATGTTACACTGCTATGAGCATTTAGTCTCACAAGAACCCTTTTCCTTTCCCTACTCCTTGAGTGGGACTGAGATTGATCTCATTTCACAAGGGAAGAGAGAGTCAGTAACTTTCTCAAGATCACACTGCAAGTAGGAAGAAGAGTGGGACTCAGAGCTCACCACCCCTTCCAACACTTTAACTGCCTCAGAGAACATCTAAATGGGGAGGGGCCCCAGAAACCATCTGGTGGGCCCTCTTCCCCTTTTCAGATTTGGAAACTGACATGCCCAAGGTTAGACCAGAGCTCCACTCTCCCAACTCTCAGTCCAGTGGTGTTTTTATTTTATATTTTTTTATTTTTTTGAGTTGGAGTCTCACTCTGTCACCCAGACTGGAGTGCAGTGGCCGCTCCCGGCCACAGCAGCCTCGACCTGCTGGGCTCCGGCGATCCTTCCGCCTCAGCCTTCCAAGTAGCTGGAACTACAGGCACGCGCTACCACGCCCGGCTGATTTTTTTATTTATTGTAGAGATGAGGTCTCGCCTGGCCAGGCGGGTCTCAAACCCGCAGGCTCAGGCAGTCCACTCACCTCAGCCTCCCAAAGGTGCGGGATTACAGGCTGAGCCACCGAGCCCGGCCCCAGTGGTGTTTTTACAGTATCATTTATCTTCATGGCCTTGTGCTCTGCTTGGACACCTGGGGTAGATGTAGAGGATTTGGGGGTGGCTTCCATCTTAGATTGAGAGATTTCATTTAGAAATTTCTTCAGTTGACACTACTGCTGTGGTTACTGAGGGTCAGCCTTGTGTGGAGCCCAGAAGAGAGCCACACCAGGCCTGGACCTGCTGCAGTTCTGGGAGATAGGCCCATAAATTGGTGGACTGCTGTAACTGAGGCTTGCCCCATTGAGCTGAGTCCTGAAGGATGTGCTGAGTGCTTCAGGCCAGCGGGCAGAGAGAAGATGTTATGGGCAGAGGGAATAAAAACATGCCCAGCCTTATGACCTGGGGCAAACTGTGCCAGGGACAGGAGTCAATACTTAGTCAGGAGCATGCTCTCTCACTCCCGTGTGCTCTCTCTCTCTCTTTCTTTCTTCCTCACAGTAACCCTACAAGGTGGGGTCGCATTGCCCTATCTTACAAATGAGGAAACTGAGGCTCAAAAGAAACTGGGGCCAGGAAGGAGAGTGTGAGGATGAAGGGAGAAAGCAAGCATATAAATATATTTATTGCCACTGATCTATACACTTAAAAATGGTAAAAATGGCTGGGCTCAGTGGCTCAGCCTGTAATCCCAGCACTTTGGGAGGCCAAGGCAAGTAGATTGCCTGAGCCTTCGGGTTTGAGACCCACCTGGGCAACTTGACAAGACTTCGTCTCTACAATAAATCAAAAATTAGCCAGGCATGGTAGCATGTGCCTGTAGTTCTAGCTACTTGGAAGGCTGAGGCAGAAGGATCGC